TAAAGCCTCAAGTACATTTTGTGATTTCTGCACGTCTTAGACCCAACTAGGTCTGACCAGGTGCCATCGGAGAACACATTTCCTGTCTTAAGTCAGTGCTGGACGCAGCCCCAGAAGCTTGCAGTGTTATACCGAGTCTTTCCAGACTTTGGCTGGGACTAAGCCTCGTCTCACCGACACATTCCCAGCCTGACTCCCTGACTTAGAGGAGCTGAAGGTGCCTGGTTTGTCCAATCACTCTAAAATGCACTGCTGAGAGTGAGAAATGTTATCTGTCACCTCGGCCTGAACCACACATAGACAGAGGGCCCAAATGCTGGGAGCATTCAGTTTCAGGCAACCTTTGTTTAACCTAAACAAATGTATCTGCAGAAACATGAGTTCAACATAAGATATTTCTCTGGGAAAAAAATGGTTTTCCAAAGTCTTGCTATAAACACTCCAGCCAAGTTGGAACTTAGTCATTGGGAACCAGGGAGGGCATTTCAACATTTAGGAAAATCCTCCACAGAAAATTACAACTCCCCACAGAGTTTTGGAAAAACACGTTAGCCACTTACTTGCCATGGTAAGAGGATCTCAAAGTTAATTTAATATTTTTAAAGAAACTAGTTAGAAAGTTAATAAATGAGGAGATGCTTAGTCAAGATAACCACAGTGAGTCATCAAAATACTTTCCTGTCTATGACAGATCTGTGTGGTTTAAAATTATCTACTAACAGTTATATTTCTTTATGCACATGGTTTTCGGGGTTTCTTTTTTCCATGAAACCAACATGAGAAGACTTTTATAGCTTACTTTATTCACTGAGATATATAATCTAGTACTAGAGAAGGCCACCAGAGCACTAGGAAAAACTTCAGGACTTCCCTAGGAAGAATGCCTCAAAAAGAAAAATACACATCACTCATTTCTTTATTCACCAGCAACTTAAAATCTTATCAATATAATTTCCTGTCATAGAGCAAAAAGAGAGAAATAGCACTGTATTTCACTTGCTCCCTGTAACCTCCTTCTATGCTGAGTGAGAAGGAAAACAGTGGAACCATTGCAGGATGTTTTATTTATAAAAAGTGTAACAGGCCCCCTTTTTCCATAGTCAAAGACCCTCAAAAGTAAAGCTATTGCATTAAACACCCTGTAAATCAGCAGGTCTTCACGATAGCCTCCGCTGGGGCATGATGCAATGGAACAGTTCACCTTTACCTTGGGTTGGCACTGCTTCTGTCTTGTGGAAGATTCTCTACAACCTTGCTGTAAGAGCTGCCAAGTTATTCCTTACGAATCTGTGAGGGAAACCACGCCCATGACAAGAGGACTTCACTACTACCCCTTTTTAACATATGTGGATTTCAGAAATTTGGGAAGCAAAGAATACAGCCGTATTTCAGTTAAACTGGGTAGAAGCAAAGCCTTTTGCATACTTGTTTGGGTTTTGCTTTCTTTCATTTAATGTTATCACCAACCTTATAAAATAATAATACACCTTGACCTGCTTTATCCAGCTCAACAAGAGCACTCTGCTGACCTGCCGAAGTACAAGGTCACACAGTGGTCTCTGTGTGCTGTCCTTCGTCTGTGACCCAGTGACGGTAAACAGCGGGGAGGACGGGCAGTTATAAAGGTGGTCTTCGGTGTCAATACTCTCTATCACTTGTCTTTTCTTGCTATACAATTTTCATCTTCAGCACCAGCTCTTTTTCCCATCAAAGTGCTGGTTCTTCCCCTGTTTTCTAATCCAAATAGTGCCAGATCTAAACCAGTTGCTTAGAATAATTATTGTTTGGCTGGTTGACTATGTTTCAATCTGAATAGGAAAAATAAAATAAAATAAATAAAAATAAGGAGAGACAGGATGTATTAGTTTTTTTTTTAATCACACTAAATGTTGATCCAATTGAATATGCCACAAATAATCATCTCTACCTTCTGATATTCTAGAATCTATCTTTGTATCTGCTATAGTTTTCTTCCTTTGGTAGCAAAGTTGTTAATAATTCTTCTGTAAGTAGAATATATGTTTTTAAACTATTGAAGTTTCATATAACATAGAACGTTTTCCGAACCAAACTTTAAATGTCTTTGAGATTTGCTTTAAATATCTAGGAAGAGGTGAGGTAAATACATGAAAGTTAAAATGGGGAAAATAAAGTCTATTAGTTTGTTTTCATAGTACTTTGATTTCAATATTAGATTCCCTTTTATAGATAAATGGGACCCTGGAGTCTACACCTGGGCTGGATTAATGTATTCTGAAAGCCTGGCCAAATAAAGGAACAAGAAAAACTTTCACTCAAATGTCAAATAATTTAAGGTGATTCAGGGACAAAACCACGTCTAGACATTCCTTTCAACCAGATCACCAATAAGAAAAGGGCAAAACCAAAAGAACTGAGTATGAGCAACAAGAGCAAAGGAGAGAAACAGAACAAGATGTGAGTGGCCTTAAAATTAACCACAATTATTATTAATGTGGCATCCATATCTCAGTGGCATGAATGAGCTGTTAAAAGCGCAACCAGTTGGGACATTGTGCAACTTAACTGCACATAAAAATTTAATTTTCACATAAACCCACTCTGAATATATTAGACTCTAGGTGCTACCCTCAGATCCTCTACTATTGTTGACCCAAAAGCTAAATTCTACTGTTTATTATCATGACCTCCTGGGAGAATTATATGTTATGTCCCAGCCTCAGCATCACTAGCTCCTGATTCAAAGTCTGAGGTGGACATATCTAATCAGTGTACCTAGGTCCTGTGTATGTACCTTCACCCTAAGAGGGGCTTGGAAAGAAAGCAGACATTTTCAGTTTTATAATAAGAAGAGTATGTACTCTACCGACTACAAGACTCATCAGATGGGAAATTCCCCAAAAACCTGAAGGGGCGTTAAGAGATTGACCAGTTAAAAAAAATGGCAAACGTCACACGGTTGAAATGAAAGCCATCCTTGCCACCATAAGCCCATGGATCTAGGGCTGATATGGGAGGAAACGAATGATCAGCATCCATGTGGCAGTTGTCTGTTTCCATTTGGATATTAAGAACCTCCTCCGCAAAGGAACTGTTTCCATACTCTGAGCCAATTTGGAAAGATCCGTGAATTTTCACAAAACATCTTGTCATTGATCCTTCAGTTCTGCTCCTGACTGTCCACACATATCACTAGCAGTTGTCCATAATTAATGCAAATCTGACCTTCAGCTCATCTCAGGCAAAGTGTGAAAGACAGGCTACTCCAAATTTTGCCACAGGAAGTGTTTTCTACTTCCATTATCCTTTCGAATCCATCAGAGTCATGTTTTCCACCACAGAATGGCACGTCCAGCAGCTATATGCTTATGGTATGGAACCTTAAGCAGACTGAAATATTTTTCTCTTTAGTCAACTGGTTGTAAGAAATTTTCTGGGAGGCCATTTGTGACACTGATGTAAGTTGAGAGAGTGCTGGAATAAGAAGAGACTATTGCAAGCAAGGGTCACCAGTTCATGCAAATTATGTGTGCTTCCAGAACTTCCTTGGACCAAATTCCATCCATTAGACTTTCCCTAATGTGCATACCAGAGGCGTCAGATAGTCGATACTTTATGAGCTCAAGGACTTTGATCCCTTAATAGTCTCATGGTAAGGCAGCCCTCTGTTTTTAAATCTTAATTATGGAAACTTTCAGGTATACACAAAAGTAAAAGAATGGTGTAACAAATCCCCAAGTACCTCTCATCCTAAGCTATTCAACAATTATCAATGTTTATTTTTGCTTACCACTTTCAACCCTGACTAGATATTTTTTTAAAACAAATACCATATATGTCTTCATATTAACCATAAATAATTCAGGATATATCTCCAAGGGATAAGAATAATTTATTTAAAAAATATAATGATACCATTATGACACCTAAAAATCAACACTAATTCTTTATATCAAATTTCTCCCACTGTTACATACATGTATTTTAAAGCTGACTTGTTAAAATTTGAGTCCAAATTGGGTCTACATGTTGCACTAGGACATGTCTCTTTAAGTTCCTGAGTTCCTAAATGTTTAAAATCCATAATAATTACCCCTTCTTTTCTATTCTCATTTATTTGTTGAAGAAACGTGGGCTTTTGTTTAGTGGAATTTCTCACATTCTAGATTGCTCCTTGTGGTGTTTTATTAATATGTTCTTCTATCTCCTGTATTTCCCGTATAATAGAATGTATCCAAATCCAGAGATAGTGTCCAAAAGAAAAAAAAAAATACAAGTCAACTGCACTTTTCAAAAATGCTAGTATCACAAAAGGTAAAGGAGGACTGAAGAGCTGTGACAGATTAAAGGATGCTAGAGAGGCATGAAAACGAAAAGCAGTGCATAATGAGAGATTTTATTTTGCTATCAAGGACATTATTGTGACTAGTGACAAAATTTGATAAGGTCTATATAAAATAATTCATATTTTTATATTATAATTATCTCCTGATTTTTATCATTGTACTATGGCTAAGTAAGAGAATGCCCTAGTTTTTAAAAAATATACCCTGAAGTTTTTAGATGTAAAGTGTCATACATATAACATTTCTCAAATGGTTCAGAAAAAAATACATATATATATATATATGTGAATGTATCTATGTATATATGTAATTATGCATACCTACAGTCAGACAGAGGGAGATAAAGAGAGCAAGAAGCGGGAGGATAAAGGAAAACAAAATAAATGTAGCAAAATCTGAATATTTGAGGAAGCTGGATAAAAGGAATATGAAAATTCTAGGAACATTTCTAAATGTCTCTATCACAAAATAAAAGTTTAAAAATGTGATAGATCTGGGACTTGATGAGATTCATGTTCAAATATCTGGCAACAGCATTTCACAGGTCGTGCTTTGAGCTTCCTACTGCAATGCAGAAGAAAGGACATTATGTCTGGTAGTCTCTCCTTCAAGTGATGATAAGATTGATAAGTGAGTTCAGGTGGTCAGCCTTATGTTGTTGTAAAGATGCCATCAGCTTTTCACTTAATTTTTTTTTTTTGCAGCAATTGATGATGATAGCCTAGATTCGTTATTTCATTAGGGATTGCAAAATACTTATATTCTAATTTCATCATTCCTTCTGCATTTCTCTGCTAATATTCTCCTACAAAGAGCTTTCACCCACTATTTGGTTAGCTTTCAATAGAGTTCATTCAGTAAAGATAACATAGTTGCCTTTTTCTCTCTCTTTAATCATTTTCAGGATCATGAGATGTTGGCATAATAACTTCCAAAATTACAAGGATCTATTTTAGGTATTTTTAAACCCCTGGAATGTCATTGTTTTTCTGGATAGCAAATTTACTCATATTTAGGCAGCTCCTTTAAGTTGGTCCCCACGTACTTTTTAACAAAACCATGATGGTCTTTGAGGATGTTGTGCTTCCTGGTATGACAACGTGTTCTAGCCTTACGTAGTATATTTTCGGACCCAAACCTTAAACCAGTCATTCTTTCAAGGATCCTTTGTTCCTCTTAGAAAAAGTACTTAGGCTCTATATTAGTTTTCCATTTCTATGTAACAAATTACCACGAACTAGTGACTTAATATCTATATACACATGCACACATGCTCGTATACATCTATAATCTTTTAATATGTAAATGTCTATAAATATAAAGATTATATATATAAAAGTTACCTATGAAATCTTACAGTTTCTGTAGGTCAGAAATTTGGGCATCACTTAGCTGAGTCTCCTACTCAGGGCATCCCGAGGTTGAACTCAAGGATTTTGGTAAGATGCATTCTTATTTGGAAGCTTGACTAAGGAAGAATTTGCTTTCATTCTCATTTAAGTTGTTGGCAGAATTCATCTTCTTGTGGCTGATGACTAACAGCCCACCTTCTCGCTGGCTGTAGGCTGGAGGCTACCCACAGGTCCCCACTGCCTGGCCCTCTCCGTGAGTAGTTCACATCACAGCAGCTTGCTTCTTCAAGGCCCCAGCAGAATCTCTCTCACTAAAGTCAGACGACATGGAGTTTTATATAACATAGTGTAATCATGAAAGTGATATCCCGTCATCTCTGTCCATTCTATTGGCTAGGAGCAAGTTACAGGCTCTGCTTGCGCTTGAAATAAGGAGGCTGTACAAAGGTCACTGGGGGGTTTCCTTAGGGTTTGTCCACAAAAGCGCTCAAAATCTGGGTATTTGTGATAACCGCCACTTGTGAGTTGGTCATTGCTTTTAAGCCTTTTTAGTGGACTGAAGAAACACATTTCTTTGAAAGTGAAAAATAATCACGAGTTTATTAATGATGGTCACCCTCTTAGATTGTTAGGGCTGTTATCACAAAACACCATGGGCTAGATGGCTTAAAAACAATAAAAATTTATTTCTGACAGTTTTGGCGGCTGGAAGTCCAAGATCAGGGTGCCAGCATGGTTCTGGTGAAGGCTGTCTTACGGCAGACTGCCAACTTTTCTCAGCGTCCTTATCTGGTGGAAAGGGCAAGAGAACTCTCTCGGGCCTCTTTTATAAGGACATTAATCCTATTCATGAAGTTAAAACCCCACTAACAATCTCTCCCAGAGATTCAGAGCCTTCTTCCACAAACACTGAAAAGGAATTAACTGACTCCCTGGCTCCACAGTGGGGGAAAATTACATAGTGCATGACTTTTCCCCCAGTCTCACCACCCAATTCTAATGGATTGCTCAGGGGAGGTGGAGAATGTTCACAGCTGATTGGAAACTAACCAAATGCCAGAATATGGGCTCATCCGTGAATCATGCCCTTAAATTCTTAAGAGTGGTTGTTAAATCTATCATTTTATATATGGATATTGTATACTCTCTTATGTAATGGCCTCAGTATTTCCTTTTAGCAAAATTCTTGTGCTATTTTTAACATTAAAACAAGCATCCTTCACACATATGTCAACTACCACATTCAGCATTCACTAAAATTTTCAAATACACTGATATTATTTCTGGTCACTCTGTACTCAGTCAATGATGTCTTATCTATCTTGTTTACTTTTACTCTTTTTAACTTTATATTACAAAAGTCGTCCACACATTTAGGAAGTACAGTTACACAATTAAATCTGTAACTCATCACTCCAACAATTATCAGTATTCTGAACTTCTTGTTTTATTTATTGCTCAGATTTTTTTTCCTGGAGTGTTAAAAAGCAAATCCCAGGTATCAAAGAATTTCATCTGTAAATACTTAAGTGTATGTTTCTAATAGATAAGGATGTTTACAAAAGATAACCACAATACCATTATCATGTCCAATAAAATAAGCAATTAAAAATAATTTCTTAATTTATTTAAAACTCATCCTGTTTCCCCAGTTGTATGAAAATGTATTTTGTTTTTGTTTTGTTTTTGTTTTTGCAAGTCATTTGCTCAAGTTAGGATCCAAATAGGATGTCCGATTGATATGTATCTTAGAGCTTTTAAACTTTAAAACAGACTTCCCTTATTTTTTGTTCCCTTTACATGTCAAAACTTGGCTATTGGTTTTCAAGAATGGCTCTGATTCTTAATTTGAATCTTTGAATCCTCACAGTGTCATTTAACATGATCCCCTCTTCCTTGTATTTCCTGTAAACTTCTATCAGAGGCTTCCTTGTATTCAGGTATCAATTTTAGCAAGGATGCTTCACATGGAATGCTGTTTACTTTCTATTTTTTCACATTGGAAGCACTAAATGTCTGTATATTCACTTCTAGTGATGCTAAGATTTATCAGTGAGTTCAGGCAAAATCAGCCTGACTCTGTGGAGTTTCCCATCCACTTGCCTCCTAATCGTTTAGCAGCTGTTGGTTACTGATATATATATCCATGGTGTTTGAAAATGATAACATTTTAATTCTGTCATTTCTTCTCCTTTCATTAATTGTGATCCTTCTATTTTAAGAGACTCATCTTTCTTTCATTAACTATTTGGTTAGCCTGAAATATAGCCCACAAAAGAAAGGTAGAATAGACACTTGTGGCTTTTCTTTATCAATATTCAAAACAATGAATTGGGGCCACTGCAAACTCTAGAAATATCCAAGTTTTAAACACATCAATAAGAACTTATAGATTTTTATATATGAGATATGCTTCAATTATTTCAATCAGTATCTCGGATGTCCAATTGCCCCATACTTAAACAGTAGGAGTCCCTCCAAGTTGGCACCTTTTTCATTCTGCCATGACCCCACTAATAGTCAATCATTTCCTTGCTCTCAATAAAAGGATAACTCAGGCTCAACTTGGGCTAAAATAGTAGTCACTGTTTCCTCCCCCAGATCTGAAATCAACATTTTCCCCAAAGAATCTTGATTTGTTTTAGAAGAAAATTGTGCTTAGAGAGCACAATCTGGCAGTCTGTGTTCCTTTGCATTTTTGTTTTACTTTAACATTTACTATAATTTCATAATAAATAGGTTGAGGATACACAAATAATAAGTAGAAATATATTGTGCATGTCAACTGTACTGTAAAATTTACTCTAAATCTTATGAAATTGAACTTTAAATATTCAACTTGGGAAAGGGCATTATATTTATTTTAGTTGGTTGATAACGCAGATACCCAAGGCTCCCATTTTTCTGGGACATAGTTGTTCCAGCTGTTGCTTATATAACACAGCTGTCCTCAGAATTTTCCATTTACTATAGTACAACATGAAGCCAGATATTTCCACAGTTCCATTGTTCATGGCTCCCCAGTGAATATACAAACATCCTGCAAATGGTGTGACCTAGCACATTGCAAACACATGGATGAAACAACTAACCAAGGAGCTGCTATATCCTGACTCACTATTTATTAATGATTTATTGTCAGGGACAAATATGGATCAGCACATGCATGAAAAGTAATTAAAATTAAAGAAATACATCATTTAAATAAAATGTGTGTGAGATGGGCAAATATTTATGAGTATAATTAAAAGTGGTACATGCTCTAGATTTAAATAGCTGAAGGAAATTAGCGACCTTTCAGCAGTTGCATACCAGTGTCTTCTTCAAAACCTGAACACATGAGCCAAGAGAAAGCATGAGGAATGAATGGACTTCCTGGACAGCACCGTATCCCTCTGTGATCTGGTACATTAACTGTTCCAGTGTGGTTTGCATTCCACTGCAATGCCATGATGTCATACAAACTAACTGATAGGAAAAATTACACAGGGACCTACCTGAATTCATGTTGTACTTACATCACCCTCCATTTACCAATTGCACGTGTCTCATTCATCTTACAGAAAAGTGTTGTAAACGAACACACTGGGTTTAATCATCCATATATATTAACCATATGGACAGGTTAATGCTTGAACTCACCTTTTCCTTTTGCAGAAATGTTTCAGATTTTATATTCATATGATGAAAATCAATAGATATACATACAGGTTTTCATCTATGAGGAAATAATTTCCAATCTGGTATGTTTCAGAATGAGGTGTGAATGTGATGTTATCCATTGGGTACTAGTTGTGGGGCAGTATTTCATGTGAAAGAGAGCTAGAATGTCTTTCTAGCAGGCCTAGTAATAAGAATCCTTCGGCATTCCCCTGCCATATAATAAATTGCCTACTTTGTATTAAATAAACCTTTTGTTGAGGAGAAGAATTAAAGAATAAAACTCACTAATTAAAAGCCATTATTATCACCCCCCCAGTATATTACTCTAGTTTGTTTCTTTTTAAATGATCATGTTCAAGGTAACACTTCAAGATGGTTTCTTAAAATTGATTCTTAGTCACTTTTGACTAACAGAAATAAAAGTCTTACAATAAACTTATTAAAACACTAAAATAATTAAGTTTCAGAATTGTGGAGTGTTAGCTACTATTATAATTTGGTGAATGTGAAACCACAGTAACTCCCTGGTGAAAGATATTTCTTCAGAATATTCAGGAAAATTGTACAATAGTAAACAATGTGGATGGGCCAGACAAGAACTACATAGAAGACAGAGAGAGATTAGAAAACCAATGAAATAGCATTAAGGTTCCCTACTGAGCTATGAATAATGCAGAAGAACCTGAAGCAAGAGGAAGTTTAGTGGATGCTATATGACTTTTAAGATCCCATTGACATTGAGTTTCAGCCTATCTTTTGAAAGCAATTAATTGCAAATACCAATTAACACTCATTTAGCACAAACAAAGGGACAGTGTTAAAGCTGAAGAGAAGGATGAGTGTAAGGTTGAGATCAAGATGGCAGAGTAGGAAGACTCTAAACTCACCACATCCCACAAGCACACTAAAATTCTAACTAATCACAGAGCAAAGACTAGTAGAAAAGATTTTCCACAACTAAAGATATAAAGAGATGGGAAGGAGGGGTGAGATGCAGTCCAGTTAGAGTCCACTTCTCTAGATCAGTGACCCACAGACAAGAAGGATATCATAATCACAGAGCTCCCCTCCAAGGAGCAAAGTGTCTGAGCCCCATGTCAGGCTCTCCAATCCAAGGATTCTGCACCAGGAAGATGAGCACCCAGAATGCCTGTCTTTGAAAAACAAGTGATGCTGACGTTCAGGAGCACTGAAGGCTGTGAGAAACAGGCTCAGCTCTTAAAGGGTGCATGCCAAACCTTACATGCTCAGAGTCCTGGTGCAGAGGCATTAGTTTGAAAGGCACCTGGGTCAAATCCATTTGCTGATCTTGGAGAGACTTCTAGAGAGGCAGAAGGCAGCTGGAACTGCCCCTAGGGCTGGAAACATTGGTGGTGGCCATTCTGGGGATCCTGTACCGTGCTGACACTGGTGCTGGCAAGCACTGCTGTGGAATCCTCTTGCTAGCCTATAGCGGGGGGCTTGTCCCATCCACCAGTGAACATGTAGCAAGCTGTACACTGCCAGGCATGCAACCAGCCATACTGGGGTCCTGCTCTGCCTACTAGAGCATCTGCAACAATTGCAGGAGGCAGGGCCTCAGAGCCAGCTGGGACAGGGGCCAGCCACGCCTACCAGCCCACCCACAATAGTTGGCTCCACTACAACAGAAGGGGGCATACAGCTGACCTAGAGGGCACCACAAGAAGATTTAGCTCTGGTGGCCAGTGGGGAGCATGGACCCATAGGACATATACATAAGGCTAAACCTCCAAGATTGGGAGCTGTAACAGACTTACATAATACATGGAAATAAACACAGAAAATTAGGCAAAGTAAGAGACAGAGGTATATGTTCCAAACAAAGGAACAAAACAAAGCCTCATAAAAAGAACTAAACAAAATGAGATAAGCAATCTAACCAATAAATAGTTCAAGATAATAATCATAAAGATGCTCACTGAAGTCGGGAGAATAGATGGATGTGGTGAGAATTTCAACAAACAGAAAAAATAAAAAAGGACCAATGAGAGTTGAAATATAATAACCAAAATGAGAAATACATCAGAAGAAATTAACAGAAGATTAGGTGATACAGAAGACCTGGAAGATAGAATAGTGTAAATCACCTAATTGGACCAGCAGAA